CGCGCTGCACCGCCCCGCCTGCTTCCGATTGGCCCGCGCCCGCCTCCCGCGCCTTCACTGACAGGCGCCGCAGGCAATAGGGAAAGCCGAGCCGTCCCGGCCGGAACGGAGGCTGCGGAGCGCCGGAGGAGCGAGTCCCGGGGTGGGGGAAGGAGGACGGCCGCGGCGGTAGGAGCGCGACGACAGGACCGGGGTGCTTCCGTCCCTCACCTGCCGCTGCCGCGGGGCGAACAGCTCGGCGGCGCATGGCTCCGTCTCGGAGCAGCCCGGCAACTTCACCTCATCCCCAGGCGGCTGGGAGACGGCCCCCGGCTGCCATCCGCGCTTCCGGCGCGGTGCATTGTGGGGCCGTGAGGGCACGGCGGAGGGGAAGGGCGGTGAGGGGCACGGGCACGGGGACGTGTCGGCGCATGCGCGGGCACCTGGCGCCTCCCCGCTCCGCCCCCGGTGCGGGGAGGGGGAGCTGCCTCCGGCCGGGGCCGGGGCCGGGCCCGGGCCCGCCGGGCGAGCGGGGGCTCCCCCCGGGCGCGCCGACGTCCACCTCCGCGGCCGCCAGAGCAGCAGAGGCGGCCGCGCTCCGGGTGTGCGGCCCCGTGAGAGAGAACTTGGTTTGGTGACCCACCGCCAACCGCATCCTGTCCCGCCTCAGGTCAATGGGAACCTCGTGGGCTGCCACAGAGTACCTTCGTGCTCCCAACTGCCCGACGAATACCGGTTCGGTTTTGATGGGCTTGGTTAACAAGGAAGGGTTCGTGTGATTTCCGTGGGGGTGGTTAATGAACTTTGTCCCATATTCGAGCCCTGGTTTTCTTCCCTGATTTCCTCTTTGCTTAGGGAACAACAGAAATGAGTAACCGAGAAGAAGCTGAGATACAACTTTCAGAACTAGATTTACTCTCCAGCATGTTTCCTTATGAGGAAGAGTTTGTTGTGACTGACCAGCTGGCTGTAGCAGAACTGAAACACTGTGCTGAAAACGAGTCTGCAGAGATGCCATCTTCGAAAGTTCAGTTTGTACTGAATGTGAAGCCAGAGGTCACCAATGCCTCTATGGTATCATAAACACCTTTCTAATTTTTTTTTATTTTTATTTTGTGGGATTTTAGGGCTTACTCGAGCTGAACATTTGCTCATTTGTTTTTAGGTGGAATTCTCCATGGCCTGTGCTTTACCATTCAAGTATCCAACTGTTCTACCAGAAATTACTGTGAGGTATGGCATTAAAAGTACAGCTAATAAAAACATTTAGAAGCTATGGTGTACTACATAAATACAGTTATAATAGGAGAAAGCAGTCCTTTTTTGATAGTTTACTGTCAAATTAAGCCAGATGGACAACAGTGCTGAAGAAAAACAAATCTGCAAGGTTATGATTTCTCTGGTGTCCTCAGCAAATAAGTGAGAAAAATGGGAAAAGTGTGGAGGCGTGCCATCTTCTGTACAGAGGGGTTACATGTAGATACTGTTCATAGGTCTGATGCTCAAGAAGGGAGACTGTTGTCCGTTTTGACAAGGCTTAACACTAAGTAAAGGCATGAAAAGTTACTCAATGGTCTTATTCTTCCCTTGTCAAAATGCTGTTACTCCCAGGCTTCTGTTATTTTTTATTGGAACATATCTGTTTAAAGAAGTAGCCTTGAGCATTGCAGGAAATTAGTTCAGCCACCATACTTACTTTTCAAATACCTTTTCCTTGATTTTGATTTACAAATTGGTAGTACTATATGTGAACTCAAGAGGTAGCACACCAATTAAATGCTAATTAAGACCTTTTTATAGCTATTATGACTTAAATATCAATAGCAAGTGCCTACCATCTAAATATGGCCTGATTTTTTTGGCAGCTTGAAGTAAAACTGTTTGAAAGACATGCTAAATCGTAAGCGTATTACAACTGCATTTGTATTTTTCTTTTTTTTTAGGTCATCGGCATTAAGCCGCTCTCAGCAGATTCACCTGAACTCTGATCTAAAAACGTATTTGATGCAAAACTGCAGTGGTGAGCCCTGCGTGTTGAGTGCAAGGGAATGGGTTAAAGACCATGCAGCTGCTTACATTGACAAAGAGCGTTTGTCTTCCTCAGTGACAACATCGAATGCCATGCAGTCAGAAGACAACACGTTCACTCGATTGTGGATCTATAGTCACCACATTTATAACAAGCAAAAAAGAAAGAATATTATTGACTGGGCCAAGGAGCTCGCTCTGTCAGGGTTTTGCATGCCAGGGAAACCAGGTGTTGTTTGCGTAGAAGGTCTACAAAGTAGTTGTGAAGAGTTCTGGTCAAGGTTAGTTTTTCTTTGTGCTTAAATGCCTTTAATAGTTAGACTATTACATTTTTCATGTTGTGTATGTGGCCAGAAGGTGGGAAATCCAACCACATTCCAACCTGTAAAGGTCTGTGAAGTATTCGTGTTCATCATAATGTATGTACAACTCTGAATATCCACTGTACTGTTGGTTGCAGCAAAGCTACTAGTACTGCACGGTGCACATTTATTTCTGTTTTATCTTCCTCTGTCTTTCACTTGTATAGCAATGGACTGCAGTACCCCAGTCGTGTTAGATATGTATGCTGTTATATTGCTTTACATTCATGTTTTATTCTGCTCCCATCATTTAAACTTCTGGGTGGTGCAGACAAAATGAATGTTGTCATTTGGTTATAACAGCTAAGAGAGTATGAGAATATGAGAATTCTTAGCACAGGTAAGGCAGAAGTGAGCACTGAAATTGAAACCACATCTTCATGAATTACTTGGTGAGGAATAAGGTTAAGGTTTTTGTTGAATCCTCAGGAGATAAAAAGAAACAAGCTCCTGCTTATGGGAGTGTTTGCATGTGAGCAGTATTTCTATGACCAGCTAGGGAACCATTATCTCTGTCAAGATATATGTACAAATGGAAATTATTGACTTCTGTGATAATAGCTATTTCATAGTATTTTCTCAAACAGTCTTTATTTTATAGATAGATTCATATTTCCCTATTTGCTTTCAGAGTAAGAAGATTAACGTGGAAAAGAATTCTCATTCGGCATAGAGAAGATGTTTCTTTGGAAGGTGGAGGACATGCTGAGATTCAGAAACAAAGAAAGTTCTCCACTTTGGAAGAAAAATGTTTTGATGCACATGGTGCCAGAGGAAATCATATGGATTTGGGGCAGTTATATCATTTTTTAGAAGAAAAAGGATGTGCTGACATTTTTCAAATGTACTTTGGGGTTGAAGGGCATTGAAGGGATTGAAGATCACCACAGGTCCAAGTGCCTTCATTTGTAAGTTAATCCTTGTTACAGATCCTTAGCTGTTCTGCAGCAGTTGATTGGAGAGGGAATTAATAATTTGTGATTTATATGATGAATCCAGTTTTCAATGAAAACAAATATCCAGTGAAATCCTGAATAATGAAAATGACTAAATGAATGCTTTATTACACTTTCTGGTTTTAAGGACATTTAGGGTATCTACCTAACTAAGTACAATGAGAGCAAATACGTTTGATAACCTACCGGGCAGTTAGAGAATTATAGATGAATGAATAGATGGAATTATTGTGAATGAATGTGTGAATAAGAAGAGACAAAAATGAAGAGTGAATATCTCAGGAGAGGAAATGTGATGTTTACATTATTTGTTACTGTTTACATACATTACATGAAGACTTTTTTGTAACAGTCTTTTCTTCTACTTTCTACCTGAAAGTATATTAAGCGCTGAGATTAATGTTTTATTTAGAAAAAAATAAAAAGGGAGGGAGCAAGTTCACAAAAGCCTTCTTTGCGCGGACAGGATGAGCTAGGATGCCTACTCTGAGGCGTAAGAATTTTCTGCAGGTAAAAGCGTGTATGCAGGTAAGAGAGATACTGTGGTGGCTCCACCACATCTGTAGCTGAGGAGTCTAGTCTGTTTACTCATGTAGAAGCAGAAGCTTACCAAGGATTGGGCTCCCTCACAGCGCACTCCAAACCAGTAGAACAATCCTCATCCCACTGAGTTCGCAAGTTGGCAGTCCGCTAATCTAAGGTGCGTTACGCTGCGTATGCTTTTGAGCATACGGTTTCAACAAATTTGCGTCAACGAATGCTAGTTTGTTTTTTTGCTTATGGGTTCGGTATGTAAATGGTCACACATGCCATAAAAAGCAGAGTCCGGTCGCTTCTGATGTTGGTGAAGTGTTTTTGTGTAGATCCGGTAAAGTTCCTATCTCTGGGGGGACTCGGACACCCTTTGCAGCGATGGCATTCCACGTGTCCCTGCCGGCAGCCCTGCCAAACCCTGACTCCTCGTACGAGCGCAGCAATACCGCGGCGTAACGAAGGGCCCAAGGCGGACGCTTCCCGTCTCCGCGCTGTAAGCTCTGGCGACGGGTACACAGCTTAAGGCTCTTTCAGCCAGAATTACACCGACGTTACGTTTCACCACGACGCGCCGGCGATTACTTAGCGCGCTTGCGCTTTTCCTCCCGCCGCCGCCCGCAGCCCCCGCGGGATGAGGGGGAGCG